CGCTAGGACAGTTTCAATAATCAACACACTATACATTCTTCTTAGTGGTTAATTGCTGTACAAGATGTGGACTTGAGATCCTATTTACAAACACCATTAGAACAAATAATTCTACTCATGAAGAGAATGTAACTATATATCTATCCTAACCACTTTGAATACACAGATACAAAATGGACATTCATCTGTATACCCTTTTTTGGTTAACTTCCATTATTTGAATATTATAGGTGTGTAAACTCAGCAAAATATTCTAAAAGAGTCCAGTAGCCCATAATAGCATTGGGTCTTCTGTTTAAATGGCAATGTCAGAAATTGTTGACCTGAGTCCCCCACAGCTCAACATAACAGCATGGCTTTACTTCCTATATTTTGTCTTCATACTTTTCTACTGGATGGTTAAGACCAAGGTAAAGCAGGACCTATGCAACGAGCTGCAGCTTTTGGGCCTGAGAAGGTCAATGAAATCCCCTCAAGATTTATCCTGAGACCCTGTACCTCAGATTGTAGAACTTTTGTCAGTGTCAGCCTTGTGGATGAGTCACAGCCATTGCTTGGCCAATGTGCTCTCTGGGAAAGCCTGAGAGAGTGTTTTCTCTCCATGTGACTCTCCTTAGGCACACTCTACATCATCGATCACTTTCTTCTTTGGCCTCATAATCTCCTTGATCAGAAAATTTGGGACACTACCGAGGTACATGGCATTACAGTACAAGTTCTCATGTGTCCTGAGTCTTAATTGACCTTAGAAGGCTAGGGCCAAAATGTTGGCTTTCCTTGCAGCCATCCTTTTGCTCTAATTTTGGCCTGCAAACTTAGGTTGTTAACCATCCAGAAGACAAGTTTATTGTTATTATCAAACAACTTAGGCTATTAAGCTTAACCTCACTATCTCTCTGCATATCAAACATCTTAGGCATAATAAGGAACAGGTATTTTTCATCAAGTATTAATATATTGAACTTTATGTCCCTACATAATATGATAAAAAACATTTAAAAATTAGATTATATTTTAAAAATAGGATAAAGAATTATACTTCTCATGTTTGCACATAAGTCCAAAAATCTCACCATATACAACCTTGAAGCAGGACAGTCCCACAATATTCCTTTTCCTGTCTCTTGCTTTCATTCACCACCCCCTTCTTCTTGAACATCCACCTACCCAAGAGACACCTTAGCAGCAACTGGCATGTCATGACAAGCAGCCCATATTCAGAATACCAGAATGACAGGCACTCCAAGCATGAAACTACTATTACAAATTACCATCTGCAGTGCAGTACCTTAGTTCACAAGTATCAGTATATATTGTTAGTCAGGGTGAGAATATTTCCAATTAACTGCTAGGCAAAAAAAACTTCTGAAGATTCTCAGGATCATTGCCTTGCTCATCTTTTACATATAACTGTATGGCTTGACATTATCATGTTTCCTAGTTCTTCTCCTTTCCCTCTCTTGATTAGTCCTTGAAATCCTGCTTTCCTTTTCCTTGTATTATATCTTTCTATTTGTATTTCTTCTTTTGAGTTCGTATACTAGGGAAACTATACGATATTTACACATGTGTGTCTGGTCTATTTCACTTATGAGTATATGTTCAAGTGGCATCCACTTCAATGTAAAGGCTTGGAGTTTATCATTCTTAATAGCTGAATAATAATCCATTGCGTAAAAATACCACATCTTTTTCAACCATTCCTCAGGTGATGGACATCTTGGTTGTTTCCAAGATTTGGCTATCACAAATTGTGCTGCTATAAACATAGGCACCCTATATCACTATGATATAATGATTTCAGATCCGCTGTAATAATTCCCAGTAGAGGAATAGCTGGTTTAAAGGGGATTTCCAGACCAACATTTCTAAGGAGTCTCCATACTGACTTCCATAACGGTTGCACCAGTCTACACTCTCACCAGCAGTGGAGAAGGGTTCCTTTTTCCCCACAGCCTCTCCAACATTTGTTGTTGGGTGATTTCTTTATGATAAACACTCTTTCTGGGGTGAGATGATATTGCAATGTGGTTTTAATTTGCATTTCACGAATGGCTAGTGAAGTGGAGCATTTTTTCATATATTTTTTCTCTTCTTTAATTTCTTCCTCTGAGAAGTGTGTGTCCATTTCAGATGCCCATTTCTGGATTCAGTCTTTAAATTGTGGGGCCCTAGTGTATTTTAGTTCTTTATAGATTCCAGAGAGCAGAGCTCTGTCTGAGTACTTATTTGTCATGATTTTTTCCAAATTTGTAGGTTGCCTTTTCACTTTGTTGGTAATTTCTTTTGACGTGAAAAAACTTCTCCGTTAGAGCAAGTCCCAGTTCTTAATTCTTTCAACTGTTTCCCGTGCGAACTGATTTCTGTCCATGAACTCTTTGCCTACCCCTATGTCTTCAAGAGTTCCTCCTACTTTCTCTTCCAGGAGATTTAATGTCTCTGATTTAATGTTTAGATCTTT